GTTGAAGGTGATGGTCCGTCATCCAACAAGAAATGTCTGTTAGACATGCTGAGATGCGAGCAGCTATCGTCGGATCATCAGGATGGAATGAGAGGTAGAGTTGAGTGTCATCAGCATAGCAGTGATATGAAAAGACATGTTTCTGAATGACAGAACCTAGTGATGCCATTATATGTATATATATATATATATATTATATACATAATATATTTATTCATTTCTAACAATTTGGAGAAAATTTAAATTTCATGTGTTGAAAATCATGCATGAATCTTCCATCTATAAAGTCCCTCATTGATCCGTCAAATCAAGCAAACATTAAATGTGCTGTGGGAGAAGGTTTGCATGTTTACCTCTGGCGGCCCGCTGAACGAGTATGCATACAGGATGGGCTGTACCATTATCAGAGACTGGGTCAGGTCCTGTCTCATGAACTGGTGTCTGTAATAGGTGCTTTCATCAGGACTGTTGTTGAACACTTGCAGGAATGAAGACCTCCTCAGATGGAACATAAACTGCCAAAGACAATGTCAAGATCTTATTTTCACTTAGCTGTAAAGCGAGATTCAGTGTAGTCTCAGAGCGTGAGACAAAAAGAACGTACCTGAGGATACAATGAGAACGTCTCAGAGAAACGGAATGAATTGGGATCATCTTTATGATAATCTCCAAATTTCTGGCACTGCAAATGAAAGAAAATAAAGAAATTATTGTGCATCCCTAATACTAAAGGACTGATTATACCAAGTAAGTCCCAGCTGAAAGAAGAAGTGCTGAAAGACTCACCAAGCGGATGAGCTGTCGGTCCAGCCAGCGCAGAACATCCGGGCCCTCTTCCGTCTCGGCCCTATAGATGGCCAGGCGGGCCATGAGGATGGCAGCGGCCTCCTGGTCAAAAGATGCAGCGATGCTCTGGATCTGAGTCTGCGCATCAGCCCAGCTGAAGAGGAGGATGCGAAGAACATGTTATAGCACAGTGACCTTCAAATACAAGCTTTTGCATCATCGGTCTGACTCACATTGATTCATCCTCATGTCTGCATGGTAAAAAAGAAATCTAAAAGGTATATTTAAAGCGACAGAACAGAAAAGAGTCAAAGAGCTCAGTAATGTTTCAGGCACTTAAAACACTTTTAGTATGTTTGAAAGCTACAAGCAGTGCATTAGTCTTTGTCCAAGACTAAATTTATGCTTACGATGCACATTGATTCTGACAAACAAATGCAATGTTCTAAAAGTGGAATCTTTTGATGTCTTCTTCAAGTTGTCTTGGAAACTGTACGTGAATGTTGAACATAACAAATGGATGATGTACAAAGATGATGTCCAAACTTGAACATTTATGAAAGGACAATCTACAAGAAGAACTATCTACAAGGTTCCCCCCC